AAGGCCTACCCACCAAAACCCGTACTCTACACCTTCTCATGGGAAATGAAAACCGGCAAGCTATGGCCGAGTGACCAGGACACTCATGTAATGGACCATAGGTCCCCTTGCAGATGGAAAATTGGAAAGACTCGGGTAAATCGAGTGCCTTTCCCAGACAGACGAAACCGTGCAATGCGGGAGCGGCTGCCAATCACCTCCGCTGGCCCCGACGACGACGTGAACCTAATCTGATAAAAATATGCGTTCACTGTAAAATAACTAGGGTTGCAAGTATAAAACTGTACTAGGGTTGCAAGTATGAACAGGGATGGCAAGCGTCCACGTACGATTATCGCGAAAATGTATAGTACACGCTGTCGCGACGAGTTTTACTCTGCAGTTGCAAGATTTAATAGATCCCACATGAATAATAAATTATCTTCATCGTTGATCGGAATTGCTGGTGAGAGCAGACCAATATTTGTGTCTGAGCATCTTTCTCCCGACAACAAAGTACTTCATGCTGCGACAAGACAAAAGGCAAAAGAAAACAAGTATAAGTTTGTTTGGGTGCGTAATGGACGAATCTTCTTGAGGAAAGACGAAACATCACGATTTGTTTATATTAAGAATAGAGAAGTATTGGACTCTTTTAATTGGTAAAATTGTGGAAAATTATTTTAACTATTGTAATATGCACGTAACCATTTGTTTTTATGAATAAGGTAGCGCTTTCATTGTTTTATCAAAATGTAAGGGGTGTGAAATCTAAAGTTCTTGATTTATATAATAACATTCTGTGTAACAATTATGATGTAATCTGTTTGTGTGAGACTTGGTTGGATGATACTGTTTACTCTGCTGAATTATTTGATGACAGATACACGGTATATCGCAAAGACAGATCTTTAAGGTTAAAACATAGGTACAAAAAGGCACATGGTGGTGGAGTGCTCATAGCGATTAGGAAAACTTTAAAATCACTTCATTTGACTGAGTACGAGACTTTTGGTGAAGACATATGGGTTAGAATTTATTTAATGGAATCATATATCAATCTATGTGTTGTGTATCGTCCTTCATATGTGGTAGGAGCAGATTTTTATGATTTTTTGGAGAAATGCGAAAATAATATACTTGATGCTTGTTGTAGTCATACCTTAATTATTGGTGACTTTAACCTATCTGGCATTGAATGGAATAAACCAGGTAGCTTGAATTCAAGTGATCTAAATGAGATGGAATTTTGTGACTTCCTTTATAGGGCAAATTTGGTAAATAATAATTATGTGAAAAATTATAATAACAGAATATTAGACCTTGTTTTAAGTTCGGCGGGATTAATTTGTAGCACTGGAGAGGCACAGCCTTTGTCTAGGCCTGATAAACATCATCCCCCACTGGATGTTGACATTGCAGTCGATTTGGAAGGTACACTCAAAGAGAGAGTGACCAGTAGGCTTAATTATCGTAGGGCTAATTTCCAGACTTGTATTTCTGAGCTAAATCAAATTGACTGGGAACAATATCAAAATATATCTTGTGATGAATTTGTAGGTGTGTTTTATAAACACCTTAACGACATAATTGAAAGAAACACTCCCAAGTCTAAAGTTAACAGGCATAAATATCCATCCTGGTTCAATAATAAACTGATTAATGTGCTTAAAGAAAAAGATAAATATCATGCTAAGTTTAACAAGTTTAGGAATCCAAGAGATGAGGATACATTTAAATTATTGAGGAAGAGAGCCAAGATTGCTGTAGAAAAATGTTTCTTAGGGTATATTAGCAATATTGAGGAAGCCCTTAAAACAGATATAAAAGCGTTTTGGCGTTACACTAAATCTAAAAGAACCACCAATGATATTCCGGATGTAATGAGCTTGGGTAATGAGACTGCCAATGACGGGAAAGGTATAGCTGATTTGTTTGCAAAGTGCTTTTCGTCGGTATATAGTAACTCTGGGACCACTAATTACATACCGGACTTCCCGGAAGCTAGTCATTGTCTATCTAAAGTAGTGATATCAGAAAAAGAGGTAGAATCTGCATTAAGAACATTAAACGTAAATAAAGGTTCAGGTCCTGATGGTATACCTCCTGTATTTGCTCGTGTTTGTGCTCGTGGTTTAGTGGCTCCGCTTACAATGGCTTTCAATATGAGTCTTTCTCAAGGCTGTTTTCCGCATCGTTGGAAAATAGCTAAAATAGTACCTATTTTCAAGACAGGAAAAAAATCGGAGATTTCAAACTATAGAGGTGTTTGTGTTCTTAACTGTTTTGCAAAGATCTTTGAAGGATTGCTGCATTCACATATATACTCACATGTTAAACACATTATCAGCTGCAGGCAACATGGTTTTGTTAAGAATCGGTCAACATCTTCTAATTTACTCACATATGTTAATTATATCAGTGTGGCGCTGAACCAGGGGGTGCAAGTTGACTCGTTGTATACTGATTTTGCCAAGGCTTTTGATAGGGTTGACCATAAGATACTCTGCCGAAAGATGAATCACTTGGGCATACATGGTAGCCTGTTGCGTTGGCTGGAGTCATATTTGATGAATAGAACTCAATTGGTGACAGTATATGGATATGAGTCATTTCTGTTTGTGCCTGCATCTGGCGTTCCACAGGGTTCCAATCTGGGTCCACTGTTGTTCACTGTATTTATTAACGATCTTTTGCTTTTAATTAATTCTCAGTGTGTTGCATACGCAGACGATATCAAGTTTTTTAATAGAATAGTTAGTGATAGTGATTGTGTAGCGCTTCAGAATGATATTAACCTGTTGTCCAACTGGTGTCACAGAAATAACATGACGCTCAATGTTAGTAAATGTCACCTTCTAACGTTCAGTCGAAAAAAAACTCCAGTAATCTACTCTTATAAGGTGGGAGAGGAGGAACTGAAACGTGACACTGCAGTTAAGGATTTGGGAGTGTGGATAGATGATCACCTTTCCTTCAGACAACATTATGAGTACATGGTATCAAAATGCAATAAAGCTTTAGGTTTTCTGTTCAGAACTATACGACCGTTTAGGAATCCAGATAGCATTATTTTAATGTATAATGCAATTATTCGTAGTGTATTAGAGTACTGTTCGGTTATATGGGCCCCGTATTATGATGTACATATGAATAGAATCGAAGCAATCCAAAAGCGGTTTTTAAAACATCTTAGCTCTAAAATGGGCTTAAGGCGAAAACTTCCATCTTACGAACATCGACTACGATATTTTGAAATGGACACCTTACACAATAGACGCACTTTAAATGACTTTGCAGTTTTTTATAAATTATTAAATGCAAAATGGGATACTGGTGAGTTGTTGAGCATGGTATCACTCATAATAGGGAGAGCTCGCACTCAGAAATTATTTCATGTACCAATAACATCGTATAATGTCTCTTACAATAACCCTCTTTATCGCATGTGCAGAAATTATAATAAGATTAGTACTGAAGTGGACATATTCCAACAATGTTTTGCTTCCTTTATGAAAAGTGTAAAGGTACACTGCCAAGGACAAAGTGTTTTGACCATTACTTAATTTAAAACTTAACTTGAATGTAATTTTTCATCTATTTAATTTTGCTTTTATGATGTTGTTTTGATTTAATTTTGTATATGATTTGCAATCATGTATTTCTGAACTTGCATTTTAATCTAAATTATGTATATATATTCATAATAAATCGGATTATTAATTGTGAATTTTATGTTAACCTAATAATATTTGAATGCTGTGCACAATTGTTATCGGTTGCAAGCTTACTTGTTGCTAGTAATGTCTTTATGTAAATGTATTGGTTTTGGTTTGTAAACTGTTATTGTGTCTAATAAATAAATAAAAAAAAAAAAAAAAAGGCTTAATTGCATCATCGGAAGGCTCTTTCCGCATGTTCTCCTACTCGCGTGATCGTATACCACATGTCCATTATAAGCTGAACCCTATTTAATACGATTGGCCATATATAAATGAGGTCAACTTACTTAGGAGTTCAAAATTTTGGAATCATATTTTTTTATTTGTCATCATACAAAATATCATTTCATAGACAATATTAATTCGTAGCTCGGTGGCTCTACGGATATGCGCCGCTCCGCACGATCGCTATTGCAAAGCAATTTTCGCAAGAGTTGTTCACGGGATGGGTGACCAAAAATTATTAAACAAAGGCCTGAGGCCCTGTAGTTTGGCTGTGAAAGAGTTAATGATGATGATCAACATATCAAAGATGAAAATTTTATAAAACAGTAAATATTTCATAGCAATTTTGGCGACCACGTCACTTCAAATTGACATAACTTTTGTATTTGTGAACCGATTGAAATAAATCTTACACTAAATGTTAACGGAAGAATGCCGCTATATAATAGTGAAAACTGTATTTAAATCGGTTCAGCCGTTTCTGAGATTATCGTGCACAAACGCACAGACAAACAGACAAACCGACAAACAGACAAACAGACAAAAAATTTAAAAATCACTGTTTTGTGTTCTATTACTCTTAAAAATGTCCCTCATAACAGTTTTTTTCATATATCTTCAATGTACAGACATCGATCGGTTACGTTTTTATTATAGTATAGATATTAGACGTTTTAGAATCGAATCAGTATTTGATTCTAAACAAACTACTTTCAGGATGTGCGTTAAATATGTTACATGTTGTATAAAACAAATCCACTTTATTTATTTGATTATTTCCTTCTGTGCCAACCCTACCAGAAATGATATTTATTTTAAACACTATTTAGAAGATGGGCCTTTGTACTTCTTTATTCATGTGTCGCAGGGCCTTTTATTGAATATTCTCCATAATCATGTAAGGTAGGTATTGAAAAGCATTCGGATTTATTTATCAAAATTGTAAATTATCCTAACTTTAAATATCGCAATGGTGATTAGCTATCTTATATTATTTTAAGATTATCTGTTTCCATAGGTATATAACCAAGTAATGTGCATAACCTGTTAACATTACCTCAATCAACTACAACGATGAAGCTCGTCTGTCTGGTCTTCCTCATAACAGCAGTGTTTGCTGCTCCAAAAGACCCAGAGCTGAAAGATACTGAACTTATCTTCACTTTCTTGGTAAGTAATTTATAGTTTGTGACTAATGTATATTTTAATATAAATATTGTCTTTAAGAATATTAGCCTGATACAAATACCAACTCTCAGTATGGAGATCAAACATTAAAACATAACAGCTGCTTTTTTTATTATGAGGGTATCATATATTTCCTTTTTAATATATGAATTAATCCAACGACATTTTCTTTCGGATTATTAGTAAAAAAAAAATCCTTTAATTTCTCAAGGGCACGATAAGCAAAATACATTTATATGCATTTAGCGTGAAAATACGTAGAAGTCACTTTATAGTGACTTCTACGTATTTTCACTGTTACTTACGTTACTTCCATGAAATACATAAATGTTCTTAATATTATATTTAGAAACTCATATTTTATATAACACGGACAATGAATATTTGTAAAAAAATAAATAATATTAACAATGAAATACGACTTCAATCGATATTATTATATTGCTTTAAGTATATTTTGTTTTGAATCCAATGAAAATTTCCATGGGAATATTGCATAGGTACCAATAATATAATTATTTATGAAGCAAAAATATAACACGCAATATATGCAGCAGACTTTTGAGTTAAACACTACTAAAAATCATTAAAATCCACTCAGAAATACTTTAAATAAAAGTTTTATCATATTATCTACAACTAAAAAAAAGTAAAAAAAAAAAAAAAATCCTGTAAATTTTTTAGTTGGATTTCAGTAATTTTCATTGTCGCTATGATAAATAAAACCAAAATTTGTGAAAAAACGTCGTGTTAGTAATTTTGCGTGAAGGAAATGAAGGTTTTTTGACTTAATGTTTTTTTATACCTTCCGTACCTTCCTACCTAAAATGAGATGGATTCTTAAATATAGTCTCTTGTAATTAGCTCACAAACTCGATTAAAAATATTCCAGGCTTATATCGAATTATTTCCGTTTTTCTCGTATTTGTATCAGGCTATACGGTTAATTGAAACATTAATTTAAAATGCCCGCGAATACAATCAGTTACGTGACATTTGAAGCTATTACGTTGCATTACAATATGGCAATACGATAACCTCTTAAAGCGATAAGTAATATACTAGAGTTTGTGATCCTGACTTCGAGATAGTACTTGATTTGTGACAGAAAGAAGGAACGACGACAGGGCCCAATAAATCGTGTCCTGTTGCAAGTAAAACGTAACCCTTTTTAAATTGAGTAGCACTAAATGTGCGTTAATAAATTTGCTAGTAGCTCCTCCATATATGAAGGATCTTAAAATTAATAAAATTTATAACAGAACTTAGTTCATTTTAGTTATTTTTTAATGTATGGTAGTAATGAAACTAACTAGATAGATCAAAACGATTAATGAATGAAAATTAGAAGCACTACCAAGCACTCGATGGAAATATACTAACAGAAAAGTTATTGGCATGTTCCTTTCAAAGTGTAATATAAAAACATAAAATTATGTTTCAAATCAATTTCACATTTCAGGTTCATCGCCATGGAGATAGAACACCAGTTCTTTCCTCATTAGTCCTCAGCAATGATCCAACCAAGCTCAGCGAACTCTCTGCACCATACGGTTATGGACAGCTTACTAATGTAGGTGATTAAATAAATTATTCATAACTAGCTTTCGCCCGCGTGGACCCTAGGGAAATGTTAAGTGGGATAAAAAGTATCCTATTATCTAAGTCAGCTAATACCCTATATGTATACCAAATTTCATCAAAAGCCGTTCAGTAGTTTCGGCGTAATTGACCGACAAACATCCAAACAAAGAAACTTTCACATTTATAATATTAATAGGATAGGATTACAGATATCTATTTCTCCATCGTATTCATTAATTATAACGCTTATAACTGTTTGAAGTCTTCGTGTTCATGAGAATGCTTTTCATTGACCTGCTAGTGCGGAAACAGAAAAGTTAATTGTGCTGAATTTTTTACTAGTGTTTCTTTTATCAAGGTCTTCTATTGAAGATGCTAAATTAGCTTAGCTTATATCATCTTCATTTGCATAGTAAAGCAATAAATTTGACCGGTGAAGTTAAGACGGTTATAGTTTGCAGTTAAATTAAGTTGGTGTAAACTGTCATATTCGCCTGTTATCAGTCCAGACTGAATATATGTTATTGAACCATGGTTTTTCTAAGGGGAAAGCTTCTCATCCTTGAATTATTAGTTCCGTAATATATAATGCAAATATAAATAAAAATGAACTTATTTAAATTGATAAATTCTCCAAACAGGAATCTTGTGTTGTTTTTGAAAATAAAAAGTTTATATATTAATATTTATTAAAATATATGGTAATTTGGAAAATGTTTTCACTATGTCTGAATTTAATATAGCAACCATTTTTATTTCAAATTAAGAACTTTAAATAGAGAGGGGTGAGAGATTTGGGAATCGTTGAAAAACAGTAGATATTCTAGTAATGGAAGCTTTTTCACGAACATTAATAGCATGTAGGTAATTAGCGCAGTTGTGTTCCTCGTTTTAGCAATAAGCGAATCTCTTATTTTTCTTTCTCTCTTATTATATAATAGAACACGTGATCGCATTTTTTATAGATCATCACGTTACAAACAATAAATTGTCCGAAAATTTCAATAATCTGATAAGCATTTAATATCATTCTATATCATTATTGCCATCAATAAAATTACAAGGAGCAGTTACGAATATGCATCATATATTTTGTGAGAATATTAATAATACATTATCTTTCCATGAGTACCAATAAATTTTATTAGATTTTATTCGACTGCATATGCTCAATGCTTCGATGTTTCGAAGAGATATATTTTTTCCTTTATTGCTGGATATCATCCTTTTGCTCTTCCAAAAATTACAAATATAATGTTTACTTCCACTTTATATATATATATATATAGGCAATATAGTTTATTCTTAACACTTAGTGATCTATGTTGTAATAACTATTTATCTTCTCAGATTGGCAAACAAAGGGCATACGAACTCGGGCAGACCATAAAAAGTCGATATAGTGAATTGATATCTGAAAAATATAATCGAAGTGAAGTATTCGTGCGTACAACCGACTCCACTCGCACTCAGATGACAGCTTTAGCTGAACTGGCTGCTATATACCAGCCAGGTAAAAACTCATGGAGTCAAGAACTGCAGTGGACACCCGTACCTTATACAACAGTACCCCTCAAATATGACTTTGTAAGTAAGCCATTAAACTTCAGAAATATAATAGACCTTTCCAATAGAATTAGATCATGCTCTGTTACATTCTAGAACATTAAAACAGATAAAAACTTAATTAATTATATGTCGAATACTACAAATCCTTATGCCATTGCCACTTGCACAGAGGTAGTAAATGATATCCTTTCTTCCAATTTAATACTTAGTACAATATATTTCGTGTTAGATGTTCACTCCAGGTTATATCAGGTCAACTTTTGTTGTATAAAGTTGTGTTTTAAAATTAATACTTTTAGACTTTTTGCAAGTGATAATATTAATTTTTCAACCGATAAACACACACTGTCAGAAACTGTTTCAAGAATAACTCAAATAGATCTTAATAATAATTTTTTGGTTTATACTGGATGTAGTTCCAATACAAATTGAGTTTTAAGGAAGATGATTCTTATTTTGGAAATGATACATTTTTTCAAGTTCCAACGTAAAATAACCAAAAATAATTAAGCAAAAATATCATCGTAATCAATACAACGTTTTTCATATTCCAGAACGCTGCTTTTGTGAACTGCCCAGTTTTTATAGATGGATACCAAGCATCGTTTTATAAACCTGTACCTGCTATGAAGAAATTCAAAGATGTATTAAAAGTGGTATCAAAACATGTTAGTGTAGACCTCAATGCTTACCCTGCCTTGACGTATGCCGTCTACGATCTTTTTGTCAGCCAGGTAGATATTTTTAACAATAATAAGATTATTTATTTGAAATTCATCTTTGTTTTCGATTACAAGAATATTTCTAAGTCTGAGCGAGATTTTAATTATGGAGAGTAGTTTCAGAAGTTCCTTGATTAATTTTTGAAATCAATGTTAATTAACAAAATAGATACTATAACTTTTTCCGGAATGTCATCTAATGATTTAAATATTACTATATTGGACTTCACCACAAACATAATAGATTTATTAAAATATTCTTGTTTTTTTAGCGTTTCAACTTTGTAATTTACTTTAAGTTAAATTATTATTATTGCGTTGTTGCTGTTTATAATAAATAACAATGGATCGTCAATACACTGCTTATCCCCACAGAGTGAATAATGAAGGCCCACAATTTCATTTTGCAACTAAACTTCAATCTGTTGATATGAAAAAAAATTCAAGACCTACATCATAGCACTCAACTATTTAGTCATCTATATAAAATAGAATATAAAATAGCATGTAAAAGGAAACTTTATAAAAGTAAACATAAATTTTCAGTTGAGTTTGGGACTACCTCTAGTTCCAGAAATTCAAAAAGTATTACCAAAAATAGAAGAAGCAGCTGGTATTGCTATGGATGCCGTATATGGAAATGAAAATTATGTTCCCCTACAAGCTGGTATGTATATTAAATGCAAAGAATCAACAATCAGCGACTTACGCTTTGCGTTGTCTGTCTGTCAGTTACTCAGGACAAAGATAATAGATTCAAGAGTAGGTTCACAAACATACGAAAACTTATAATTTTTGTCTTTTATTTGAATACAAAATGGATAATTTATAATGTTTTAATTGATCAGAGCTATTATTTGCGATAAAATTGAACAAAATCATAGCTACTTAATAAATAGTTATTAATTATTTATGAAAAAATATCATGACGATTGCATTACATATTGTCAACGCCACCAAACCGATAAAGTATTATTAAATTATGGTGTAAATGTTAACCCATTTAGACCTACTTTAGCCAGGGCTTGGAAACCGGTAAATTTTTTGAACTGGTTCGACGTAAGTACATGCGAAACTTTACATAAAAGGTTCAGCTCCTTTGAACAGGTTTTTAAACTGGTTCACTAGAAATACGGTTTTCTTCATTAAAAGGTTTAAATATGATTGACAAACAATGATCTCACAAACTTCAGCGCGGTTTTTAAGTACCTTTACCTATCTATAACATCCGTACACAAATATAATTCGCATTAAAAGCGTAAGAACATTGCTTTTTACGAACCAAACGAATTAACCGGTTTTTATTCCATCCGAATTTCACTCTGCATTCAGTTCCGATCCGGAACGGAACATTATAAGAGAACAGGTTTTACCTAAATAAAAACGGTTTATTCTGAACCGGTTTCAAGCCCTGACCTTAGCATATGTGGAACAATATTCATGCGGTTTTTCTTAAACATGCTGTATGATAATTTAAATCTTTCCATCTTTGCCATCAGGTGTCTTTTTAAATGAATTTTTCACTACTGTGGATAAAGTAATTGCCGGCAATGACACCCGGAGATTCCGCATCTACTCCGCCCATGACTTCAATGTTTTTTCATTCGAATCGGTCACCAAGATCACCAATAAGCAAGGATATCCCAAATATGCTTCTGCGTATTCCTTAGAAGTGAGAAGAAATGTGAAGAATGGGAAATATGTTGTTCTTGTGAGTAAAACTTTTTAATATATCATTAGTCGAAAAGAAAAAGTATCAGTACAATACAATTGATTCGATCTCTCTCAACATATTTTAATTATTTCTCTTGCTGTACATAATGCGCTTGCTAGAACTTCTCCTGTGCTCTAGCCAGAGGTATATAATAAGTATAATTGTTATTATGTCTGTCTTCATTTCGTTGTGAATCTTCCAGTAGGTACATAAAAACTGACTCCATCTACAATCATTTCTGACCACGTAATATACCTGTTGGTCATGAGTGTTTTTTCATCTATACCTTGCTGATAAAAAAGTAGTTGTTGTTTTCAACTAATATTTTCCATCCACAGCCGGTATACCTGCCCGAACCCGGTGCAGCTGTGAAGTACCTGAAGATCAAAGGATGCTCTCAACTCTGTGATTTAGAAAAGTTCCGTCAAATTACCGCTTCAAACGTCTTAGACGAGGATACTTGGAGGTCAAAATGTGGATTCAGCAATGACATGTATATCGACGATTCTCTAGTCTAGCTCAATATTGTAATATAAGCTATAGAATAAGGGAAAAAATAAACTAAATTATTTATATGAAATTATAATTAACGACTTATCATATTTTTATTATCTCTTCATCGTGTTACTTGTGTTCTTTGACCTGGCCCAGAATAGAACTAGTACATTGAAAATACTATAAACTGAATTTTAAAGCAGTTGTCATCAACCGATTAAGCTATTTATTTTTCTAAATATGTTCTTGTTCAGTTGACAATACATGAAATTACATAATTTTAAAACAAAATGGCGGACAGCCCAAGGTTGCAGCGGCTTTAGATTTTTTTTTTATAAACTGTCAAGATATAAGTATCAAATGAAGGTGTTGGCTAATTAAAAATTATACACCAATTATGGTGGACTTATTATATGTTATCTATGCACTCTCAAAATATGGATAAAAAATGTTATAATTCCGTGAGAAATCGCGATAAATTAATTGTTTTTGTTATAAATTTAATATAACTAGTTATGTTTGATGCAATCATATCAAAAGCTTTTGAAAGTAGTCTAGAGATGAACGATTTATATTTCAACAAGTTACTTACAGTCTGTTTGTTCCTTACAAAGCCATGCTATTTTATTGACAAACAACCACTGACGTGATTATATCTATATTCATAAACCAGAGATTCAAAGAGATTATATAGGTCTGTAATTTTCACAATATGATCTAGTACCTGATTTATGAATAGGGATGACATAAGCTATCTTCCAAGGTCTAGGAACTACCCCACTTGAAAGGGATTTATTTACCCCTATCACCCAATATGCAACATTCATTGGCATTATTAAAAACGAAGATTTACCATTATATGATACAGTTTGAGGAATACTCTTTTGTCTTTTCTTATCATCTTTGCCGAAAAGGTAAACTGATAAGTGCATTCTGTTACGAGCTCCACCTAAATTATTTTTGAACGTGTTTATTGTGTAATTGTTTTATCACGACTAAATTGAATAACATCATACTAAGTTAACATAATAATCACTGTGTGCGTATAACTGCAATAAATTGTTGATTTCGTAATAATTGTTAATACAACAACAATACGTCTTCGTGTGAGAACTACCGTCTTGGTTTTTGTGAACGAGCCCCCTGCAGGTGAATGTGGCGTGCGTGTCCGTAGTGTGAGTACAGAGTTAAGTGCGAGATTTGCGTGCAGCCGTTCCACTACGTGTTTACCAGGTCGTGTGTGCGTCATCGAACAAAGACTAAGCGACGCAGACGCGCCTACTTTGACTGATACCTCTCAGAGGCAAAAGTTATATCAAAATAAAACACTGACGGTGAGTTTGGAATCTGAATATTATTTTATTTTATACACAATGAATTGCTTGGCGTGTAGCGGTAAGATCAGTCGCAACGAAGTATTGGTTTGCATCAGCTGTAAAGGGCATTATCATTACAAGTGTCTTAACATGAAACAGCAAACCTATATATTAACTAAAGGTAACTGGTTATGTCCCACTTGTGATAACGTAAAAAGGCGCCCGAAAGGCGATGAAACACCTACCCGACGCCAGTTCGAGCAACCAACAGTTGATGCTGATATGTCGTGTGACGATGTAAATTTTGAATTTGGGGGTGGATCGAGTAATATCTCAGCCCCTACTGAGCCTAGTCTTATAGATGTTCTTCAGGAAATAAGGGCTTTTCGTGCAGATTTTACTACTGTTAACTCTAATATACAAGTTATAACCAATGCTATACAGGATTTGAGTAATAAATTTAATGAAATGGAGACCCGTTTTAGTAACATCGAAGATAGACTTATAGAAACTGAGAGAAAAACTTCGATTATACCGCAACTGAAGGCAGAGTTGGATTCTGCGAGGGAAACCATTTCTGGATTACAATTAGAGAATCACACGCGAGAACAATATGCACGAATAAATAATATTGAAATCTCTGGAATACCTGTGGTGGATGGGATCAGGTCGAGATAATTAATATGAATATTAGGAATACTGTTAATTTGCATTAAACTTCCCATAGACATAAACTCGACAAGTAACTGAGCACTTGGATCTTGAGGGTTATCAGGTTTAAGTTTGAAGTTTCCGTTGTCTAATGTTTGAATCTAAACAAAGTGTTGTAGTCACCAACAAACAGAAACTCACAGTTATCTTTTGATTAGGTTAATAGCAACAACAAATATTGATCATACGTTTATTTTTATATTATGGGTAAACAGTTACCCAGAAAACCTCTTTTTGTTTTATGCACAAAATTTAAGTTCTTTTTTTGTAGCAATCAGCACGCCACCACAGCCCACTTTTCTAGAAGATGTGCTGCAGCGATCACGACGAAGGACCTGATATCTTTCATCGAGCATTTCTCCATCATAGATGCTATTATTAAAATTGGTTTCTGTGAGACATATAATACCAAAATCAGTGTTTAAAATATTTAAATAAACATCATCTAACGTCGTGCGTAATCTATTAACATTTTGGTAATTAAATGTAATTTTATTCATATTCATAAAAAAATTAACAAAAAAAAACATAACAAACTTGAGAAAAAAGAAAATTTAATTAAAGTTTTTTTAAGAACTGCAAGATTTTTAACATGTATAACGTCACTATTTTCATCTTTATGCAGGTAGAGCCTTCCAAATCTAACCCATACAAACTTAATTTTAATGTCGTGTGTGTAGAACTAAGCATCTCTGATGGATGATTTTTATTGAATCGATGTACTGCAGACAGAATCGAGTCCCGAAAACGAGGAGATGTTAGTATCACTAATATATTTCGAGATCTGTCACTTGGTGATTTAATTTTTGCAACTCTCTGGCATGCTTTTGTGTCTATTTATAGCGCTGTAGATACTTTTGACGATATTTATTACATTTTTAGTGTGACGTTCAGGAGCTAGCTGAATTTCAATATTATGATCACCTGATATTTTCTTAACAGTACTCAAACGGGTACTAAGATTATTAATTTCATTTTGTAGACGCAACTGATCTGATTGTAAAGATTGAACGGCAGAATCTCTATCAATTATTTTCTGTTTTAAGTCTTTTTGTTCGTCAATAATAAAGTCAATAGTTTTAGCGAAGTCCTCTTCAATACGTCGAACCATAGTATTAAGCTCGGCCGCTATCATAGAACGCATGTCATCGTTCAAAGCCTTACGGAGGCCTATCATTACCATAGATTGAAGTAAAAGCTTCTGGTCCAAAAGTGCACTGATACTCTCTAGTGTATGTGCCACCGGAGTCGAGGCGCTCACCGGTGACCCGCCTAAGCTCATGCGATTAGATTTCGGATCGATAGAATGTATTGGGTTTTGGTTCTTCTTATGTCGAAATAAACGAGTATTGTTCACACAGGAAGGATATTTCAGCGAGGCAAGCTGATTTCACGGACAACGTATGATCAAGGTCAATATTTAAAAAAGTAGACAATAGATTGACTTGCATGCATTGCATTTAAAAAAAAATGTTATCTCTAAGAATTATTATCAAACAATGTATTACTCAGAGGAAAACAATCAATTCTTTATATCTGCTACCACCTACCTCCACAACAGGCAAATAATTATGCAGGAAGCACACGATCAGTAACAAAATACTACTCGTATTAACTCGACTATTTCTTATCGAGGTTGATGAAATCGTTTTAGTAACGACTAACTTGTATCAACTACGATAGATGGTGTTGCACACCGTAGATGCCTTATACCTATTTAACTAATAACAAACCTAGATGTCTCAGTGTTGTCACAATTATTAGTCTGCACATTACTCACAGCATAAATCGGAATATAAATAATCCAAACAAATAATCCGTGTATTTTCGACTGTGTTAGTTATTCATAGAAATCATAATGAATTCCTCAGCACCAATATCTTGTCGAATAATTGACAAATTCTTAACGTATGATTTTCACTACTTTCACACACGATCGAGGCAAGTAACGCTATAGTAATCAATTGTTCAAAATAGGGAAGTTGTTATTATAACTTTTTTTAAATGCTGATTTACACTAGAAAGACGTATTTGACATAGGAGGTAGATTCGAAAAAAAGACTATAAATAATACTAAATATGACATGGTGAAAACTAAAATTTTATATATAATTTGCTCGTATGTTACTGATAATTTCCTTAGGGAGTCTGTATAACGTGCGGTAGTGCAGTAAATCAAAATTGGACGTTTTATAAAAACACTCCAAGGTACTCCGTTAACACTCATTGCATAATAAATCATATTGCTATCTTGTTTTTCTACTCCATGTCTATTTATTTCCGAAAATAATTTTACTATCTCTATATTGAATATGGTAATAAAATCAATATAAAATTGCCTACTCCATAAGGGGTTCAGGATGAAACATATACATAGATAGACAGTATTGATATTTTGAGTGTTTTAGGGCTCGTACATGACGATGTGACGTAACGTGTGACGGCACAGTACCGTCATGTGAAAATCCATGTCGAGCAACGTAAAAACTCCCGTTACTCCCACGCAACGTGCCACGCAGCAAGACACGACGACGTCGCATTTATAATTTAACAAAGTGACGGACGACACTTGAAGTCAATCACTTAATATCCCTAGTTTGGGATTGTCCTTTATCATGGGATACAACATCAGAAAAATTGAAGAACACGTCTGGTACGTCTGGTTTAGAATTATCAGCGGCATGTGGTACCTTCGATTACATCACACGTGGAGATGGATCGACGCACCGCGAATTTTCACGTTGCTCGCCGTAGAAAGTCACGAAATCTTGACGTGACACGTTACGTTACGTTTGTAGTAACAAGTTTATGTGAACATGCCCTTAACAGTGCGATACTATTTAACTCTTTGGTTGTCGGTTGTCCTTTTGTTTACGTATTACACGTTGACCTTATTCCTTGAGACTAAAATCCAATATTTTTATGCATATTATTCAAAATTGTACTCTTATATTTAAATAGAAGAAGCCCTTTAATAACAATACCTTTATTTAAAGCATTAAATAAAAATTATTTTTGTTCAATTTTGAAAAATGAAAAATATTCTTAATGAAATATGCTTAAAAAATCCATTTGGTCCCTTGCACCCTCAGGGTTTTCTAAAATGATGAATGTCACTCACTATGAGGACTGCAAATAAAAAATCTATTTTATATAAAATTTAAAGTATTATTATATTTATTACCCGATTTTGAAATGTATTTCCAATAAATTTTCAGTCACGTAATATAACGAATATGTTTCAGTAGGTCTGTCTGACGGATCTCGTTCCCTTGGTGGCTAGCGAGGATAGCGTTTGTGCGTGACTTGCAGAAAAATATAAATTTTACTGTGACGTAACAGATATGACAAATTAATTTCATCTTTTATTTTTTCATCATTTACCCGTAATGTATCATAATAATCGCAGTTCATAACGTCCAAAAATAAGTACGCTGTTCTAGAAGAACAAATTATAGGAATCTTCTATTAGTAACTGTAATTAGATCTCCCACATCGGATACAAATAAATCTGATTGGAATAGAATTGAGTGAAAACACTATCAAAATATGACGTAACATATATCGGTAATACCCGACGAATAGTCAAAAAAATCATCGAGTTTCTCATTCACAATGCTATACTAAAAAATACTTAAAATATATCAAATTAGAAAAAATTTACAATGTTATCGAAAGTTTAAATATAATTTTAAAAATATTTCCTTCGGCTGTTTGGGTGGATTGCCTGAACACTGATGAAAATACGCTCTGTAGTAGCGAAAATTAGTCAGTTCTGTTAGGTTCTGGGTAGCTCAGTGGTTAGAGGAGTCGCCCGGATTGCGAAAGGTCATGGGTTCGAGTACCATCTCAGAGTGCTAGGGACGAAGTGGATTTTTAAACATTTTTCATTAAGAATATTTTTCAGTATGATGAAATATAATAAAATACAATTTTTGAAAATGCAATATAAATTTTAAACTATATATAATCGTCTATAATAGCACTCCGATATTTTGCAGCATTTCAGGATAAATGGGTATGTTGACTTATTTTTATTTGATTTACCGTCGCGTCTACAGATTACTAGAGAATATTAAACACAATTTTTTTTGCGTAATCCGCCAAAATATTCAGTTGAAAAGTCGCATGATGTCACACCTTGGTACGTCTGCATAGTTAGCGAAGCGTTAAAGTAGCGAGCTCCAACTCCTCAACTTTAATGCCTATTAATTAAGCTATTTATTCCTTGTTAAATTGAAGCAAAAAAAATACGTACCTAATATTTTTAACTGTATCCAGTTTTATATGCGACAATCAAGATCGGCTTCACATAACCAAAAACTATATACGAGTAATTTCATTATAATTATATTTCATTATAACATTATAATCTGTAAGTAACTATTTGTTTTAAAAAAAATCGCACTATTTCGGAATCCGGAATAATTAAGCAAATATATGTATTTTAAGCTTTTCCAATTAATAATAAACTGGTGTATTTATGGTGTGGTACGTATACAGTCGTTGGTGAACTTGTAGTTAAAGGCTGGTTTATAATGTAGAGGTTTATTTCTTGCTAACATAACTGAGACGCGTGCGTCTAGTATGATATACGGCGAAAGAGAGAGCGTGCGGAAACATTACGCAACTTATTTATTGCTTATGTTATTGGTGTTAGGTACATCCCGACAGTACGATTTAAATTGGAATACTAACGATTGAAAGAGGCCAGAGAGCTGTTTTCAAAGTCTCCACTGTTCGTCCCTTTGACGAGCTTTATAAATCACGTAAGGTATTGTAACGTCTGAAAACATTAAATTCATTCTCTGAACTATTTCGACCAACTCTGCAAATATTTTGTAAATCTTTCTTATTGATTTTGAGCAATTTAGACTACATCTAACGTATATAACAATATCATTCTTGTAAATTTCAAAATAAACTCAAGATGTCCATAGTACATTTTCTTTTATTACGTAAAACTCTAGTGCTAACACTACAGAAGCAGAGGTCTCCAACGCGGGTCGTCATAGTACGAACAGTTGGACAGTTATTTATAATGAGGGCAGTTTTTTAATAGTACGCACGCCATACTACCATTCAACTTTGAACTCATTAATAAAATAAAAGAAAGACTAGAATAAAACTTCTCCTCCAGATTCTTTGTTGCCAATGCAAAGCTAAGCATATATCATCTTAATTATAACATTTGAAAAGAAAACTCTTCATGAAGCCCTTCAATATGGTCGTACGAAGATATGGACTTAAATAATGTTAGTGTTTATTCTGCATATTTTTTTGTTTAACTTATATAACTTATCTAGATATTTTGCAATGGATTTTGACTTCTACATTCAATACATTTAAAGGTTTAAAAGTCGGGAAGTTTGACAGATTTTTATCTGATGAACCATTATGGTCAGGCAGTTGATATTTCGATATCTCATATATTCCTTTTGCCGCTATAATAACAAATACTAAAAAAGGCAATAAAATACATATTTATGGGAATTTTCATACAACAAATGTGATTCTTTGGTGGTTTCCGGTACGGTACAATGTCGTTTTTTGGGAATAGCCTATGCACACATCTCACGTTTATTTATATTACTTTTTTGGGTCCAGAATATACCGCTGTATCTTCAGAGTTTCTGAGCTAGTGTTGATTGATATTTTTCTTAATGCGATTACCTTAACTTTCCTTGCGTTTCTAAATGAATCTCGATAGTATTACAATAAAAGTTTTGTTGTATTTTTGCTTACAGCCTGGTTTTAAAGAAATCATCGTGTCGAATGAAGTGTCCATACATTCCCCCTAATCTGTTTTATATGGTTTCCAGCAGGCCTTGGCTACGATATGATTGATAATGTAGTGAATCAAAATGCACTCAACGTTTAATTGCATTGGGTACAACTCTATAATTGAACATTATACATAGTATATCACATAGTACTCGTTCCAGCTAATCTTTTTCATCCCTCTCCAATACTACAAAACCCTGCATAATTTTTGATAGAGGATGCATAACCTTGAATAGCTGTTTCTTGTTTCTAAACGCTCTCTTAAACGTCGTTGCTTTCAGTATTTTTTTTATTAATAAAACAATAATATAATTACCACAAATTTAAATGTTAGATATATAGCAAATAGTATTAAAAAAAGGGCATTATATGTTATTTTATTTTCTCAGATGTTTTGGAGAAACTTGAATCTCTTAGGAAAATCTCAACTACTCATGCAAAATATCTGCGAAACTATGCGCATGTAAATAGGGCCGACACCTTTTGAGAAACGAATTT